GTTTCAGTTTATATACATATATCAAGGGTGTCCAAACATTTTCCCCAAAATGTAAATCTATCTGAGGGCTGCGGCCAAATGCAATAATATAATTCTTCAAATACAAATATTTATTAAGTACAGTACTTTTATTGTAATGATTAGTATTCATTTTTTACAATAACAAGCTGGAATGGGGAAAAAAAGCAAAAATGAAATAAAAGTAACGACTTTCTACTTGCCTTTTTTTTAAATGTTAGGAGTAGAAAGGACATATAATTGTGTGAAAATGTAAGAAGTAGAAGTAAAAAGTTGGCTGAAAAATAATTACTCAAGTAAAGTACAGATACCCAAAAATTCAACTTAAGTACAGTAACAAAGTATTTGTACTTAGTTACTTTACAACTCTGATTTTGGCTCACATGGCTCAATAATTCAGGCTGAGTTATAGTCGTGCTTTGGAGCACGCGCACTGTCGCCGGCAGTGGAAGTGTTTATACTTGGTGCTTACATTGCTGTAGATTTCACTAAAAAATGTGGAAGAACACTTTATAACTTGTGAAAATGAAAGTAGGAGAGCGAAAGCTCCACCATTTGYGGAGTTATGAAAATTCGGAGGTGCACGACCAYGCATGGGCCGTGGATTGTGCCCGGTGCGACGTGTCAACTATAAACCTAGCTTTACTGTTTTGATAAATGTTTTTTCTGACTTTTGTTTGCCACAAGTTTACGCTCAAAAGGCAGCAAAGAAACTAAACTAAGTCGTCAGAAGTTTTGTAAATAATAGAAGCAACGACTGAAATGAGCTGTGATGGCATTTTATAACATGATTTCTGTTCATTTGTTAGGTTTTCACTTCAACTTACTTAAACATGACATGCAGTGTGGTCATGGATACCACAGAGTTGTTCCTAAATAAAGCACTTATGCAATGTCTGAAATTCAAAACTTTTTCCTTATAAGGCTCTGGATGAACTGTCAGTTCTGGTTTTGCGTCAACACATAAAGTGTTGCTTATGAGCTCCCTGCATTGATTCAATGATTTTGTTATAAGAGACAAATAGTACACAAGTGAATAAAGTATGATTTTGACAAATTTGTTGTTGGAATCAAATTCAAAATGTGTGTTTTTATATATGAATTAAAAATGAGTTGTATTAAAATGTATTTTCCTTATCTTTTTTTCCCTACTGCCTCCTCCTTCAGCTGCATGACAAGTTTGAGCAGCTGAAGCGGATGCACCAGGACGAGAAGAGGAAGGTGGAGGAGAAGCGACAAGACCTGGATGAGGAGATGAACGCCTTCAACAGGAAGAAAATGGCCAGCGAAACGCTGTCCTTATCTCAGCCCCTGAAGAAAGACAAGAAAAAGTAAGACAGTTCCTCCTCAATCACTCACTCCCTTCATTTTTCCTTCAGAAACAGGACGCTGCCTTCCCAAAGCCGTCTGATTTTTCTTTAAGGAGCCAAGCTTCCTTGCATTGTCTGCCTCCTGCCTTAAAGACTCTGTMCTTTTGTAGATTTCTTCCTCTCTTCCTTTCTTGTTTTTGCTATTTAACCCCATTACTTCTAAGCAGGAAGTGTGCATTCTGTCCTGCAGCAAAGCGCCTCATTAACAAGCCTTTAAAGGAGTGTGCCATGCTGATGTCGACTTATCTCCAAAACACCAGCATTTCAGCCGTTTTTTTAAGAGCCTGGCATGTGTTAAGGAAACTTCCTCCCATTTTTTTCCTCTGCCCAAGCTTAACATTTCCTGTGCTTTCACCCKTTCCCCTTTGCTCTGCTCTAATTATTTTTGAATACTCAGGGAGGCAGTAAACCTTTCTTTTGCAGCAAAAAGCTCTGAGATAGATGCAGGTTTTAGATTAAAATCTAAAACAGGAATGTGTTGATGTTCACACTACAGTTGAAACATACATTAAAAGGTTTTTGTAGTAATTCTTGAATTTTTGCCTTCAAAATAACTACTGGCCTTTTTTTGTTGTGTAGGATGAGTGTGAGCTGCAAGAGATATGATGCTGCATTTTTATTTCCTGCCTTACTGGCTTTTTAAATTTAATTTAAAGTTGTAGATGCAATCAGTCAAAAGCGCTAAAAAAACCATCAGCAGCAGATTGATTATGAAAGTCTCATCTTAAAGACATAGTGACTGGTAGGCAAGGCTATGAGGAAAATTGTCTAAATTGCAAGTTTAGAGCAAATAAAACATGAGCTCCAGCATCTTAGTTTCTGCCTTTGTCTTCTGCACAACATTGAATTTAGGATAAGAGAGCTGAAGTTGATGGTTGAGAGTTTTAAGCAGCAGTTTGTTGAGTGAATTGCACAGAACGTGAAGTTTCTCATCGTGGCAATTTCATTTTCTGAGGTTTTAAAAGTTGAGAATTAGACACGTGGCGCCATCTTGTGGCTGTTTGTGCACATTGTTGTGGATTCTGCTGTCAGAAATTGAGCTTCCATTTTGTGATTTTAAGTAGTTTCTCAGATCTCAAGCTCTCTGTTTCACAGTGAAGGTAGATATGATTTTAAATTTAAATAATCACTAATATTGGCTTTAAAGCTCACTGCAGCACCGCTTTGCTTCAGTGTTCACTTAATTTAAATCTTTTTTTAAATTAAAAAAGTAATTTTCAGTTGATGATTTCATTCATTCACTTCCTTTTCTTTATTGTTTCATTGTTTTTCAGTTGATTTGTGGGCGCTGTACACCCATCCACACACCACCATGGATTTGTCCTCCATCATCATAGCAACATCTGGCTGTTTTTTGTTTTGTTTTGACATTCCATCTTGACATTGTGCACATGGACCAAACACACTGAGGATGATGATGGTGAAGCCACAGGAGAGGGGTGAAAAATGAGGAGAAATATTCAYGTTCCATCAGTGGCCATCTCATTAACTCAGGGGTTTTTGTTTTGATTTTTTTTCTGTGCTGTTTTGGACATTTTTATATTTGTTTTATTTTCTTTTCAATGATTTAAATAATTTCTGTGTTTTTTTTATTTTCTGTGTTTTGCCATCTGCTATCTAAACAGCAATAAGACTTTAAAACTTTTCATTTTGACTTCTTGGTACTACAACACACCTGCTTAAAGTATGTATTTAAACTGTAAGCGGTGCTTGATGTCAGTGGACTGAATTTTAAATTTAAAATATCTTAAATAAAGGTTGTTCTTAACTTTATCTTAAACATTAGACCCTTTTTAAAATATTGTTCAGAAGTTATATCTGTTCAACGTTTTCCAATTGAAGAATCTAGCTTAGTAGAATCAGTCCCTGCTTAGATTGAGTCTAAATGTTTAAATAGCATCGTGTCAAGCCATAACTGAGTACCTGTATGCTGTATAATTTGCATTTACAAAGGTACTGACAACCTAAAATTGTATTGAGTCTTAAATCTATGCAATATTCTTGTGATGTAACTCAGTAAAAGTATGTGAATATTTTCTAGAGCTTACAGTAAATGTACTAGTTTTTAAATATTATGACACATAAATAAGATAAGAAGCCTCATATGATGCTGTTCATTGTTTTGTAAGTGGTTTAACATTATTTTAAACTGTGGAATCCCAACTATGAAGCCAGTAAAACACAGGATTCAGGTAAACATTCAAACCTCGGCTCGCTGTAGTTTTTATTTTACACTCCGACACGAAGAAGAGAGCAGCTGTATTTACTGTCTGTTGTTGCAAATAAAACCTCCCCTCCCCCTCCTGACTGTGAGGCCTCTCTCTCTGCCGTGTTGTGTGTCTGCATTCAACACAGGCAGGTAAAAGGACGCACTCAGAGACGAGGCTGTCAGCTGGAGATGCAGGGTTTCCTGCTGGTGGTTTGCTCAGATTAAAACTACTTCTGCTCTCAACGCAGTGATGCTGGGGGGTCAGCACATATGTTTGGTTTGCCAAAGGTGGAGTGTGTGAGTGAAGAGAGAAATATGCACGTTATTCACTTTGAGGAAGTGTGTGACATGTTTGTGTTCCTGTGTAAGCTACATTTACTGTGGAGATTTTTGCTTCAGACTTGTACTATTGTGAGTTGGGGGATTATGCACAAGTGACTTTTTTGAGCCTTTTATCGTGCTATAATCATCAAAAACATACTCAAAGTGTTGTTTTGACTCATACATGAACACTAGCACCGCCTATTTGTACAAAGCTCCTCCCTGGAGCTCAGTCAGCAGGTAARCTCGTGCCCCACAGAGGACCCATCCCTCAAAACTTTGTTGTGAAGATGTACTGAAGTGGGAGTGTCTGAAATGGTAGGATGTTCTTAAAGAGAGGCCGATTTCAAGGTGTTTAGAAGCAAGGTCAGTTGTATTTTTGATATATATATA